AAATCATATGCAAGCTCGCTCAAAAAAAAAAAAAAAAAAAAAAAAGGGGGGGGGGGGGGGGGGGGGATGGGATGGAAGGAGCGAGAAAGCAAGGTGACAAAGGGGTTCCAAAAGGAGGGGCTGCCAAGGGGGCAGATTAAGAGGTGCCAAGGCTTGGCACACCCACGCCAAGAATCACAAGGAAAGGCCAAGGAGGGGGGGAGAGAGAGACAGAGAGAGAGAGAGAGAGGAGGAGGTTGAACGGTACGGTGGTGCACACATGCCCACGCCTACCCAACCCATCACTAAGTTGGACAAAAGGTAGCCGTCACTGGACGACGAGCTCTGCCCATCACCCCACACCGCAAAGTAAGACACCGGAAAAGGAGAAAGAAAAAGAGACGAAGAGAGAGAAAGAGAGAGAGATAGAGAAGGGAGAGGGGGGGGAGAAGGGCGAGGGGAGTCTCGCACACTTCTCGTAGCATATGGTGCGTAGGACCACGATCGCTCCTTACTGATAAGCACACTAATGCCGTCTCCCGCATGTATTGTTTGGTACGCAGCCGAGTGCAACAAATGGGTGATGGGCGCAACCGACCCATACGAGTTCGCGGTGACAGACACAACCATATTCGTGATGCAAGGCCGGCTGCGCCAAGCACTCCACTGGTGGTGCTCATGGTGCGATAGCAGCTTCATCTTATCCATCATCGCATGTGGCTATTGGTTCCCATGGAAGAACGAGGCCCCCACGCCTTTTGAATCGAAAAACCACGCCGGCACACAAGCCCATGGTGATTTCACCCGAACAGCAGTCCAGGACCTCCTTCGCACGGGTGCCGCTGCAGAGGCACCCGATCGAGCCGCACTTTCATGTGTCAGCCCGCTCAACGTGGTCGAGCAACGGGAAAAATGTCACCTCATACTGGATCTTCGGAAGGTCAACGAGCACCTGCGCGTGCCCAAGTTCAAATACGAAGGACTGCTTCGCGTGGCAGAGTTGATCAAGCCGAACGATTGGATGTTCTCCGTCGACCTCAAATCGGGGTATCACCATGTGGACATACACCCAACTTGCTGGCGATACCTTGGCTTCCAGTTTGACGGAGCATATTATTACTTCCGCTCCTTACCATTCGGGCTAGCCACAGCCCCGTTCGTCTTTACCCAACTTATCAAGCAGCTCACTCGACGATGGTGTGTACGTGGATGGCGAGTGATCCCATACGTCGACGACATCTTGGTGCTATCCGAGTCAGCCCAACAAGCCCGATCGACATGCACCATGATCGTGCAGGACCTAAAGGACTCCGGTCTAGTGATCAACAAGAAGAAGTCTCAGGTGCTCCCAACCCAAGCACTCCGCTTCCTTGGCCTCGAGTTGGACACTCGAAGCGGCACATTCTCGGTGGGAGACGAACGTCGATCTCAACTAAAATCCACAATGGCGACGCTCATTACCGAGGGGCGTAGAGGCCGCCAAGTACACATCCGCCACGTCGCCCGAGTCACCGGCATGCTCGCATCAATGAGCCTCGCTCTGGGAGCAACTGCACGAGCCTTCAGCCACGAGCTGCTCCAAACCATCAACACCGCACCATCATGGAACTTCCGGATATCGCTGTCATCAGAGGCAATCGACGAACTGGGCTTCTGGATGGAGCAATTCGACAAGTTCAATGGTGCCCCGTTCCATCAACCGCACCAGTACGATGCGGTCATCCAAGTGGATGCCAGCGCGCACAGTTGGGGCGCCACACTCGTCACGTTCCGCAGAGAGAGGAGCAGAGCAAGCGCGAGCATGCCCTCACACTTGCCACCCACATCCAGCACCCGACGGGAGCTGGAAGGTGTTTTGTGGTCACTACGCACCTTCATGCACCAGATCTAGGGTGGCCATACCCTAGTCCGTGTCGACAATCAAGGCGTCATGTTCATCCTACGCAAGGGCGGCTCAAGCACCACTGAGCTCACCCTCGCATGCAAAGAAATCATCTCTCTTTGCACGGAACACTCGGTTCGCTTGGCAATCGAATGGATCCACCGCGAGTTGAACACCCATGCGGACGAGCTCTCCAAGTTGCAAGACCATGATGACTACACTCTGAAACAACCTTGGTTTCGCCTCCTTGAACGTCGTTGGGGGCCCCACTCCATCGACCTATTCGCAAACGCTCGCAACGCGTTGTTACCTTGCTTCTGCTCGAAGGTGCCCAATCCCAAGGCGGAAGCGGTCAACGCATTCTCGACGGATTGGAGTGGAGAGCACGGTTTCGCGTTCCCACCCCCCCACCTCATCCCAGCAACCCTTAGGCACACGCAACGCACCCACGCTAAGATCACTCTTGTGATTCCACAATGGACAGGGGCTGCTTGGTGGCCCCTTGTGCAGCCGTCTCCCCAGACATGGGCCAAGGGGATCACCAGTCACCTAGCACTTGCAAGCGGTAGTCAATGCCTTCACCCAGGCACACACACATCTTCGTTCTCAGGCGCTGGATTTCCAAATAGTCCCATCCTTGCATTGGCTATAAATTTCTCGATCTAATTGCATGCTCTTATTGATGGCAGAAATATTAAACAACCTCCAAAAGCAACTCTTCGCGGTCATCAGCCAAGTGAGGGCACCCTCCACCATCCAAACCTACGAACCTTACTGGCTCAAGTTCCGAGCCTTCTGCAAGAAGGTTTCGCTGAGCTACCTGCCTACCACGGACTTAACACTCGCGCTGTACCTCGTGCACGCCCTCAAGCACAAAGCTACGCTATCTGCTATCACACTAACGTGCTCCGCGGTATCCTTCGCACACAAAATGACTGGGACGGCGTGTCCCACCGACGGCCCCTTCACATCGCAAGTACGCGAGTTCGCCAAGCGCCACGCACCGCGCCCCAACCGGACCAAAGAGCCAGTCTCGCTCCACCAGGTCCATAGCATGGCTCAGGAGTTTCTCACATCCCACATCCCATCCGAATTTCAGAAAGGTCTCATCCCCCTCTTGATGTACACTGGGTTCCTACGCTACTCCGACTTGGTCGCGATTCAGTGGCAGGACATTCAATTCGAGGATACGGCAATGTGGGTTCTAATCCCACACTCCAAGACTGACCAGGAGAGCAAAGGTTTGTGGGTCCCAGTCGCGGCAACAGATGGGCCATACTGCCCAGTCCAAACCACCCAGAAATTCATCAAGATTGCCGGCTATGACTCATCAACTGAAGGCCCTCTTATCCGAGTTTTCCCACGTGGCGCAAAGGCAACACCACAAGACAAATCTCCCTCATACCCCACTCTTAGGAACTGGTGTTTGGAAGCCTTCCGCAAGATCGGGCTCGACCCAAAGCACTTGGGCACCCACTCATTTCGCAAAGGGGCAGCAACGACAGCTGCCGGAGTCGGGATCACGGATCGAATGTTCAAACGTCTAGGCCGTTGGCGCAGCGACACCGCGAAGGAGCTCTACGTCACAGTCGCTCAAGACCAGCTCGTCGCAGCATCCCGACTGATCCAGGACCCCACACGAGCCCCATCCTCCAACCAGCATCAGCTGTCTATCCAGCACCAGCGCCGTCCTCCTCTGCACATGTCTCAGCAGACCCAGATGAAATGAAGCACGATGCCTATTACAAGTTGCAATAAGCAAGCTTTCACAATATGATAATTTTTGAAAGTGTATTCACTTTCTAAAATTTTGTATTGTGATAGTGAAGCGATTGCCAACGCAGCAAAGGCAGCGTCGCATCGCTACTCGCCCTCTTTTGGCTACAAAAGAGGGGTTGGAGGCCATTTGGCCTCACCCACCTTCTTTTCAGATTTTTAGTAGTTCCCCACCCTCCCACCCTATGTAGTGAAATTGCATGTTGTAGACCTTTGGACGAGATTGATGTACTCTACCCAGATGAAATGAAGCACGATGCCTATTACAAGTTGCAATAAGCAAGCTTTCACAATACACTGATTTATATGCATTTTTTCTTGCGGTAGCAGGCCTCGGCTCGGCATGAGCGGCAGGACAGCCCGAAGCTGTGGTGGCGCGCTACTTGACAGATATGGCAGTGGGACTGGTATGATTAGACAGCAATTCCGTATGCGTTGGCGACCCGCCGACCAGAATTTTCGATGTTGCACCTGTGGACCAACGCGACAAGTGAAACTGTGGGCCACTGGGCCTTTTTGTCTGCGCGTTACCTGTGTCCGAATCCTCGGTAAAAAAAGATCCGGTAACAGTGTATAGCAAAACGCACCCTGATAAGGAAGTGTAATTGAAACTGGCACCAGGGTAAAATATTTCATAGCCTTTTTGCTCTAGGGTAAAAATTCTCATACCCTGTTTCTGAAAGGGTATGGTAACTGGGAAAAAGTGGCCGCTCATCAGGTCAAACAGGGTATTTTACCCTGATAATTTGGGGCCTGTTCTGAACCCAATTGCAGGCAAACCTGACATCTCTTCAGGGATTCCATTGAATGAAGGTGGTCCATCCACATTGCTCGCATGCCGTTAGGTTCCACAAGCGCACTTGTAACTCCATTATCTGACAACTTGGCCACATTAAGAGTTTTTACACACTCATACTCCTGTTTCAACAAGGAAATCAAACCATGTGATCTGACACCTGCAAGTGAAACCAGGGCACATCGTCAAGTGCTCAGAGAGACGATTGACCACTTTTAGGACGCCTCAAAAGTGACACATATGAAACCAGGGCACCTCAAGCACTCGGAAAGGCGAATGACATCCGAGAATGCCAAGTGCTCTGTGCCGCTGGCCTGCCCCTCTGACCTCCTCCTTGAACCTGCTGCACGAGGTATTGCTGCACGAGGTATTGCCTGAAGCTGAAACCAGAGGTGGGCAGAGCAGAGCAGTGGGCGTCGCACAAATCCGCTCGGGAGTTGAAGCTGAAACCAGTGGGAGGGGCAGGGGGGTTTCTCCTAGACGTGGCAAGCAAGCGGTTCTCCATCCCCCCTCCTGCATCCATTCTTGAGTCGACTCAAAAATGGACTCATCCCCTCGTACGGTAACCTACTTGAAGCTGAAACCAGTGGGTGGACCAGGGGGTGCTCTCCTAGACGTGGCACGCAGGGGGTTCCCCATCCCCCCTCCTGCATCCATCCCCCCTGCTAGTGTCTGCCGCAGCGGACTTGCACTCCTGGCAGTGCTTGCAGACGGGACCATTGGCGGCCCCCGAGCCATCACCGGACCTGGGACCATAGCTCCGGGAACCCCCGCGCCTAGCGGGTTGGGCATGGAGCCCATGGTCATGCCGCGGGTGATAGCTGGCTGCTGTTGATTGGCGGAGGAGGAGCGGGTGGGCTGGAATGACGAGGCGTGTGAGATACCATAAGAGGGGGCCCCTGCTCCTGCTGCTGCTGCAGTTGAGGTCGGAGGGGTGGGAGATGCAGCAGCAGCACCGGCCGCTGCTGCTGCAGCGGCTGCTACGGCTGCCGAAGCTGAGGATTTGGAAGGTTTGGATGAGGAGGAGGATGATGATGAGGAGGAGGAGGAGGGTGGTGGTGGGGGTGTTTTCCGAGAGGAAGGGGAGGGGAGAGGGCTGGAATCTGTTGAGGGTTCTTCTGAGATTGTGGGAGCGGCAGGGGCTGCCTTGTTGAAAGCTGTTCTCCATGCGTCCACTGTCTCCTTGGTGCCTGGTGGGACAGCAAGGAACAAGATGGCAGAGAGAGAGAGAGAGGGCGCAGATGCACAGAGATCGAGGTAACAGCAGGGGCTGCCTTGTTGAAAGCTGTTCTCCATGCGTCCACTGTCTCTTTGGTGCCTGGTGGGACAGCAGGACACAGCATGAAAAAAACAGGGGATCAAGAGCTGGTGTGAAGGGCACCGATAGGGCAGAAATGGCAAAGAGAGGAGCGGCCTTGTTGAAAGCTGTTCTCCATGCGTCCACTGTCTCCTTGGTGCCTGGAGGGACAGCGGGGCACAATGCGGCACAGAGATTTGAAGAAACGGCAGGGGCTGCCTTGTTGAAAGCTGTTCTCCATGCGTCCACTGTCTCCTTGGTGCCTGGTGAGACAAGATGGAAGCAGGGATGGCACAGCATGGCATTGAGAGGGGATTCAAGAAGACATAGAGGGGTGCTCATGGCACAGAGAGAGGTGGACATGGCACAGAGAGAAGAGGACATGGCAGAGAGACCCGAAAAGGCAGACGCCCACCTTGTCCTTCGTCCTCAGCAGACGCCCGTGCCTCATGCAAACTAAGCGCCCTCTTGAGCTGCAGCATGGCATCACGCATGCGCTTGAACTTGTCGCGCTTGCCGGCGCTCTCGGAGTCCTCCTGCAGCATGGAATGCAGCTTGTCGTCTGACATGCCGCTCACCGTCTGGTACAGCTTTGTTAGCATTGAGTCTCGCGCTCGCTCCACCTGAGCCAGTACTATGGCCTGATGTGGCGTGGTTGTGGTGGTGGTGGTTGGGGGGAGGGGGGAAGGGAGAGGGGGTGAGGGCACGCGTATGCAGCTTCACCGTCTGGTACAGATTCGCTAGCATCGAGTCCCGCGCTTGCTCCACATGAGCCAGTACTATGGCCTGATGTGCCGTGGTGGTGGTGGTGGTGGTGGTTGAGATTGGGGAGGGAAAAGGGTGGTCGTGGTTGACAGACAAGAACACACGCAGCCACAAACAGGAAAAACACACATGCAGCCACACACACAGGCACACATAGAGCCTCACTTTGAGAATGTCGTCAGCCAGATGCACGAGCACAGCCTGCACGTATTGCCGCACCTCCGTCACCTGGTACCGTAGCCAATAAACCCTTGAATACCCCATTACCCCATTACCCCATTACCCCATTACCCCATTACCCCATGTCGCAATCTCCAAGCCTCACCTTGGGGATGTTGTCAGCCAGGTGCACGAGCACTGCCTGCGCGTATCGATTAGGTGAGACTCGCACACACGTTATCAGTCAGGCACGTACAGGCACACAGTCGCACGCACACAGGCACGCACAGAGCCTCACCTTGGGAATGTTGTCAGCCAAGTGCACAAGCACTGCCTGCACATATCGCCGCACTTCAGTCACCTGATACCGCAGCTCCTCCTCCGGATTCGCCACCCGCCCCGCCCCCGCTGCCCCTCCCCCTCCCTGCCCCAGCGCCCCAGGCACAATATTGCCCCCACTCCCACCGCCAGCACCAGCAGAATCCCCATCCCTGCCGGCCCCCTCGTCTCCTGATTGGTCGGTGTCACCCCCGGTGGAGGAGGAAGGGGGAGGTGGGGGCGGGGCCTCTTTGAAGGCCTTGGTGTGGCTGCGCAGACGCGCCACCCACTGCTGCTTCTCCGCCATGTTGTCTGCCCTCAGGATGAGCGACTGGTGCACTGGAGAAGGGGGGAAACAACATGCAGAGGTAAGTTAGGAGGAGAGAGGGAGAGTGGGCAAGCCGCGCCACCCACTGCTGCGTCTCAGCCATGTTGCCTGCTCGGAGGATGAGCGACTGGTGAACTGGATGGGGTGGGAAAGGAGCAGTGGGAAGTGGAGGCGGGGCCTCCTTGAAGGCCTTGGTGTGGCTGCGCAGGCGCGCCACCCACTGCTGCTTCTCCGCCATGTTGTCTGCCCTCAGGATGAGCGACTGGTGCACTGGAGGAGGGGGGAAGGAGGGGGAGGAACAACATGTAGGGGTAGGTGATGAGGACCGAGGGAGAGTGAGCTAGCCAACACCCACTGCTGCTTCTCCGCTGTGTTGTCTGCCCGCAGGATGAGCGACTGAATGGTGGAACCAGGGGAGGGGAGGGGAGGGTGATGGGGGAGGGGGACAACGTTGAGAAGGATGAGGATGGAGAGTCGGGAGGGAGTGAGAGGAGGCAGGATACAAGGGCCCTTGAGTTGACCATCTTGGTGTGTTGCTGCCCATGCTCACGAACACGGGGTAAATACGGCTTTTGAAACATGCCTTTGACCAGGGCTTGTCACATGTGACAAGTGGGAAATTCGTTTGAGTTGACCATAGTCTATATACTTTGCCCAGTTACACCACCTTTGACCAGCGTTGACCCACCTTTGACCAGCGTTGACCCACCTTTGACCAGCGTTGACCCACCTTTGACCACGGTCTTGTACGGCACTCTGTTGCCGATCTTGAAGGAGAGAGCCTGTGCCGAGGGGTTCGACCCCGCCTTGATGTCCGACGCTGATGGCACCTCCTCTGGCGGCACTATCTCGTCTATTATGCAGTCCTGTAACGAGTATTGCAAAAACGGGGACAAAAAGAGGGGTAGCAGGAGAATATTTAAGATTTTAGCCCTTTATGCCTCTATTTCGTCCACTAAGCTGCAGTCCTGTAACTTTTTTTTGCAAAAACGGGGACAGAACAGAAGGAGAGCAGTAATATACTTTTGGAAAGGGAAATGTACCCTGTGACAATTACCCCACCTCACCTACTGAGGAAAATCCTAGCAGACAAAATCTAAAACCCTACATCCAAAAAGAACAGAAGAAGAATACAAAACAGTCGCCGCCTTCCTCCTACCAGAGCAGATCATCAAGACAGCGAATACCTTCCTCCACTCCCCATGGCAATGAGCGACTGTTGGTTGCTGCTTTACCTACCTTGAGAGAAAGTGACTTTTGAGTCGACTCAAGAGTCACCTCCTTATCAAAGCATATCATCCGACAGAGACTACCTTCCTCCACTCACCGTGTCAATGAACGACCGTGGGTTACTGCTTTTACCTATTTCGAGAGGAATGACTCCCCTAGGCGTCTTCTCACCAGGCTTCTTTACACAGTAGAGCCGCAGGGTGGGCACGGGTAGAAAGTGATTTTTTGAGACGTCTCAAAAATCCACTTTCTACACGTGGCTTCTCCACATAGTAAAGCCGCAGGGCCAGGCATGGTGGACATGGTGGGCATGGTGGACATGGTGGACATGGTGGACATGGTGGGAAACAACCAGTACACTATGGGTAGGAGGAACTATTGGTGTCTTACCTCAAGAGGAATGACTCCCCTAGGCGTCTTCTCATCGGGCTTCTTTACGTAGTAGAGCTGTGGGGAATGGAGGGAAGGGCACGGCGGCACAGGAGGGAAAAGAAAAGAAAAGCGTGGTGGGCAGAGTGGAAAGAGAGGGAGACAGAGTGGTGAGTGGAGGGGACAGGAGGGAGAAGAGTGGCGAGGGGAGGAAAGAGGGAGGGCGAGAACGAGTTCTTTTTGCACCCTGCGGGTGGGCGTTGAGTTGACATGGAACTTGCATAGAGGGGCAGGGACGTGAGGCAAGTGGTTACGCTGTGTGTGTGTGTGCGTGTGTGTGTGTGTGTGTGTGTGTGTGTGTGGCATAGCATACCCGGCAGTCTTGTCGCTGAGTGCGAACCATCGCTTGCTCCACCCTCCAGGTGAGCTCTGACTTTACTCAAAGCTCACATAGAAAAGCAAGGGAAATCTTTGAGGAAAATCGTCTGTTGGTTGCACTTTGCGTACAGCATACCCGGGCGGTCTTGTCACTGAGTGCGAACCAGCGCTTGCTCCACCCTCCCTTGGAGCTCACTTTCCACAAGAACCCTGACAGGGTGACCAGCAACAATGGCAACAGGCAACAGGCAACAAGCAACAAGCAAAGGCAACGAAAGTGATGAATAAACCTTTTACAAGAAACCTGACAGGGTGACCATGACCAGCAAGCAACAATGGCAGCAAGAACAAAGAAGAAAAATACATACAGACATAACCACCACGTCATAGACGTTACTAAAAGCGTGACACAGCAGAGCCCAAAACAACACAGAAATCCCATCTCATCCCATCCCCTCCCAACCCATCTCAACCCATCAGAGCATGCAACAGCACCTGCGAGTTCCTTGACGGGACCCAGGGCCTGTGAGGCGTCGGTGGGGGGCGGAGGTGGGGGACGGAGAGGGGGGAGGCTCCTTCTTGCAGAACGTCATCCCATCCCATCCCACCCCATCCCACCCCATCCCACAGCTTTGCAACCCATCTCAACCCATCACAGAACAGCACAGCACCTGCAAGCTCCTTGACGGGACCCAGGGCCTGTGAGGCGTCGGTGGGGGGCGGAGGCGGGGGGGGCTCCTTCTTGCGGCTGAAGGAGGACATGGCAGAGGCGAAGCGACCTCCCCCACCATCTCCTGTCGACTGGGGTAGAGGGGGGGGGGGAGGGGGGACAAGGAGAGAGGGGGGCTGTGAGGCGCTTGTTACCAGAGGGCGGAGGTGGGGGAGGCTCCTTCTTGCGGCTGAATGACGACATGACAGAGGCAAAGCGACCTCCCCCACTGTCTCCTGTCGACTGGGGTAGGGGAGGGAGGAAGTGGAGGGGTGAGAGTACGAAGAGAGGGTGAGGGAGGGGAAAAACTTCTGAACAGAACGAGAAACAGAGATAATATACTTACAGAAAGAACAAAGGAGAGGGAGAGAGCATTTAGGTAAGGATCGGCAGACAGAACAACTCAGGGAGCAGGAGGGTGGAGAGGTGTATTTTGAGGCGCCTCAAAAAGGATCGGCAGAAAGAACAACTCAGGGAGCAGGAGGGTGGCAGCGAATTAGAGAGCAGGAGAGAGAGAGGCCAAAGACACAAGGACGACTCACAGAGCGGGAGAGCAGGAGAGAGAGAGGCCAAAGACACAAGGACGACTCACAGAGCGGGAGAGCACGCCGCGGTCCTGCAGGCCCTTGCGAGCCACTTCCAACTCCTTCCACAGCTTCTCCTGCCTGGCGGGTGGAAGAGGAACGATAGAGAGAGGAGGGGGGGAGGGGGGGGGGAGGGGGGGAGAGGGGTTTGAGGTGCCTCAGAACTTGGTCCTTGAGCGCCACTTCCAACTCCTTCCAACTCCTTCCAACTCCTTCCACAAGGAGAGAGGGGGGTTCTGAGGCGCCTCAAAAGACACTCTTCCCACCCATCCCAGCTCAGCTCAGCTCACCCATCCCAACCACCCATTCCAGCTTCGCTCAGCTCACCCATCCCAACCACCCATTCCAGCTCAGCTCAGCTCACCCATCCCAACCACCCATTCCAGCTCAGCTCAGCTCACCCATCCCAGCAGAGCTCACCACTTGTACTCCGCCTCAATGAAGTGCGACGGTGGCACGAAGCCCTTCTCCATGTGATTTCAAGTTGACTCAAGGGACACCTTTTCCCGTCACTCATATCCAACCCATCAGCTCACCGCTTGTACTCCGCCTCAATGAAGTGCGACGGCGGCACGAAGCCCTTCTCCATGTGATTTCAAGTTGACTCAAGGGACACCTTTTCCCGTCACTCATATCCAGCCCATCAGCTCACCGCTTGTACTCCGCCTCAATGAAGTGCGACGGCGGCACGAAGCCCTTCTCCATGTCCACTATGGCCGTCACCATGCGCTTTGCCTCCGCCCGATACTCGTCCAGTGCTGCCGATGCTATGGCCACCAGCTGGGGGGGAAAGAGGGAGAGAAGGAGAGAGGAGTGAGAAGGGAGGGGCAGTGGAGAGGTGGCATGCGCCAGTCACCATGCGCCAGTCACCATGCGCCAGTCACCATGCGCCAGTCACCATGCGCCAGTCACCATGCGCCAGTCACCATGCGCCAGTCACCATGCGCCAGTCACCATGCGCCAGTCACCATGCGCCAGTCACCATGCGCCAGTCACCATGCGCCAGTCACCATGCGCCAGTCACCATGCGCCAGTCACCATGCGCCAGTCACCATGCGCCAGTCACCATGCGCCAGTCACCATGCGCCAGTCACCATGCGCCAGTCACCATGCGCCAGTCACCATGCGCCAGTCACCATGCGCCAGTCACCATGCGCCAGTCACCATGCGCCAGTCACCATGCGCCAGTCACCATGCGCCAGTCACCATGCGCCAGTCACCATGCGCCAGTCACCATGCGCCAGTCACCATGCGCCAGTCACCATGCGCCAGTCACCATGCGCCAGTCACCATGCGCCAGTCACCATGCGCCAGTCACCATGCGCCAGTCACCATGCGCCAGTCACCATGCGCCAGTCACCATGCGCCAGTCACCATGCGCCAGTCACCATGCGCCAGTCACCATGCGCCAGTCACCATGCGCCAGTCACCATGCGCCAGTCACCATGCGCCAGTCACCATGCGCCAGTCACCATGCGCCAGTCACCATGCGCCAGTCACCATGCGCCAGTCACCATGCGCCAGTCACCATGCGCCAGTCACCATGCGCCAGTCACCATGCGCCAGTCACCATGCGCCAGTCACCATGCGCCAGTCACCATGCGCCAGTCACCATGCGCCAGTCACCATGCGCCAGTCACCATGCGCCAGTCACCATGCGCCAGTCACCATGCGCCAGTCACCATGCGCCCAGTCACCATGCGCCAGTCACCATGCGCCAGTCACCATGCGCCAGTCACCATGCGCCAGTCACCATGCGCCAGTCACCATGCGCCAGTCACCATGCGCCAGTCACCATGCGCCAGTCACCATGCGCCAGTCACCATGCGCCAGTCACCATGCGCCAGTCACCATGCGCCAGTCACCATGCGCCAGTCACCATGCGCCAGTCACCATGCGCCAGTCACCATGCGCCAGTCACCATGCCAGTCACCATGCGCCAGTCACCATGCGCCAGTCACCATGCGCCAGTCACCATGCGCCAGTCACCATGCGCCAGTCACCATGCGCCAGTCACCATGCGCCAGTCACCATGCGCCAGTCACCATGCGCCAGTCACCATGCGCCAGTCACCATGCGCCAGTCACCATGCGCCAGTCACCATGCGCCAGTCACCATGCGCCAGTCACCATGCGCCAGTCACCATGCGCCAGTCACCATGCGCCAGTCACCATGCGCCAGTCACCATGCGCCAGTCACCATGCGCCAGTCACCATGCGCCAGTCACCATGCGCCAGTCACCATGCGCCAGTCACCATGCGCCAGTCACCATGCGCCAGTCACCATGCGCCAGTCACCATGCGCCAGTCACCATGCGCCAGTCACCATGCGCCAGTCACCATGCGCCAGTCACCATGCGCCAGTCACCATGCGCCAGTCACATGCGCCAGTCACCATGCGCCAGTCACCATGCGCCAGTCACCATGCGCCAGTCACCATGCGCCAGTCACCATGCGCCAGTCACCCATGCGCCAGTCACCATGCGCCAGTCACCATGCGCCAGTCACCATGCGCCAGTCACCATGCGCCAGTCACCATGCGCCAGTCACCATGCGCCAAGTCACCATGCGCCAGTCACCATGCGCCAGTCACCATGCGCCAGTCACCATGCGCCAGTCACCATGCGCCAGTCACCATGCGCCAGTCACCATGCGCCAGTCACCATGCGCCAGTCACCATGCGCCAGTCACCATGCGCCAGTCACCATGCGCCAGTCACCATGCGCCAGTCACCATGCGCCAGTCACCATGCGCCAGTCACCATGCGCCAGTCACCATGCGCCAGTCACCATGCGCCAGTCACCATGCGCCAGTCACCATGCGCCAGTCACCATGCGCCAGTCACCATGCGCCAGTCACCATGCGCCAGTCACCATGCGCCAGTCACCATGCGCCAGTCACCATGCGCCAGTCACCATGCGCCAGTCCACCATGCGCCAGTCACCATGCGCCAGTCACCATGCGACCAGTCACCATGCGCCAGTCCCATGCGCCAGTCACCATGCGCCAGTCACCATGCGCCAGTCACCATGCGCCAGTCACCATGCGCCAGTCACCATGCGCCAGTCACCATGCGCCAGTCACCATGGCGCCAGTCACCATGCGCCAGTCACCATGCGCCAGTCACCATGCGCCAGTCACCATGCGCCAGTCACCATGCGCCAGTCACCATGCGCCAGTCACCATGCGCCAGTCACCATGCGCCAGTCACCATGCGCCAGTCACCATGCGCCAGTCACCATGCGCCAGTCACCATGCGCCAGTCCACCATGCGCCAGTCACCATGCGCCAGTCACCATGCCGCAGTCACCATGCGCCAGTCACCATGCGCCAGTCACCATGCGCCAGTCACCATGCGCCAGTCACCATGCGCCAGTCACCATGCGCCAGTCACCATGCGCCAGTCAACCATGCTGCAGTCACAACATGCGCCAGTCACCATGCGCCAGTCACCATGCGCCAGTCACCATGCGCCAGTCACCATGCGCCAGTCACCATGCGCCAGTCACCATGCGCCAGTCACCATGCGCCAGTCACCAGCGCCAGTCACCATGCGCCAGTCACCATGCGCCAGTCACCCATGCGCCAGTCACCATGCGCCAGTCACCATGCGCCAGTCACCATGGCGCCAGTCACCATGCGCCAGTCACCATGCGCCAGTCACCATGCGCCAGTCACCATGCGCCAGTCACCCATGCGCCAGTCACCATGCGCCAGTCACCATGGCGCCAGTCACCATGCGCCAGTCACCATGCGCCAGTCACCATGCGCCAGTCACCATGCGCCAGTCACCATGCGCCAGTCACCATGCGCCAGTCACCATGCGCCAGTCACCATGCGCCAGTCACCATGCGCAGTCACCATGCGCCAGTCACCATGCGCCAGTCACCATGCGCCAGTCACCATGCGCCAGTCACCATGCGCCAGTCACCATGCGCCAGTCACCATGCGCCAGTCACCATGCGCCAGTCACCATGCGCCAGTCACCATGCGCCAGTCACCATGCGCCAGTCACCATGCGCCAGTCACCATGCGCCAGTCACCATGCGCCAGTCACCATGCGCCAGTCACCATGCGCCAGTCACCATGCGCCAGTCACCATGCGCCAGTCACCATGCGCCAGTCACCATGCGCCAGTCACCATGCGCCAGTCACCATGCGCCAGTCACCATGCGCCAGTCACCATGCGCCAGTCACCATGCGCCAGTCACCATGCGCCAGTCACCATGCGCCAGTCACCATGCGCCAGTCACCATGCGCCAGTCACCATGCGCCAGTCACCATGCGCCAGTCACCATGCGCCAGTCACCATGCGCCAGTCACCATGCGCCCAGTCACCATGCGCCAGTCACCATGCGCCAGTCACCATGCGCCAGTCACCATGCGCCAGTCACCATGCGCCAGTCACCATGCGCCAGTCACCATGCGCCAGTCACCATGCGCCAGTCACCATGCGCCAGTCACCATGCGCCAGTCACCATGCGCCAGTCACCATGCGCCAGTCACCCATGCGCCAGTCACCATGGCCGCCAGTCACCATGCGCCAGTCACCATGCGCCAGTCACCATGCGCCAGTCACCATGCGCCAGTCACCATGCGCCAGTCACCATGCGCCAGTCACCATGCGCCAGTCACCATGCGCCAGTCACCATGCGCCAGTCACCATGCGCCAGTCACCATGCGCCAGTCACCATGCGCCAGTCACCATGCGCCAGTCACCATGCGCCAGTCACCATGCGCCAGTCACCATGCGCCAGTCACCATGCGCCAGTCACCATGCGCCAGTCACCATGCGCCAGTCACCATGCGCCAGTCACCATGCGCCAGTCACCATGCGCCAGTCACCATGCGCCAGTCACCATGCGCCAGTCACCATGCGCCAGTCACCATGCGCCAGTCACCATGCGCCAGTCACCATGCGCCAGTCACCATGCGCCAGTCACCATGCGCCAGTCACCATGCGCCAGTCACCATGCGCCAGTCACCATGCGCCAGTCACCATGCGCCAGTCACCATGCGCCAGTCACCATGCGCCAGTCACCATGCGCCAGTCACCATGCGCCAGTCACCATGCGCCAGTCACCATGCGCCAGTCACCATGCGCCAGTCACCATGCGCCAGTCACCATGCGCCAGTCACCATGCGCCAGTCACCATGCGCCAGTCACCATGCGCCAGTCACCATGCGCCAGTCACCATGCGCCAGTCACCATGCGCCAGTCACCATGCGCCAGTCACCATGCGCCAGTCACCATGCGCCAGTCACCATGCGCCAGTCACCATGCGCCAGTCACCATGCGCCAGTCACCATGCGCCAGTCACCATGCGCCAGTCACCATCGCAGTCACCATGCGCCAGTCACCATGCGCCAGTCACCATGCGCAGTCACCATGCGCCAGTCACCATGCGCCAGTCACCATGCGCCAGTCACCATGCGCCAGTCACCATGCGCCAGTCGCCATGCGCCAGTCACCATGCCGCCAGTCACCATGCGCCAGTCACCATGCGCCAGTCACCATGCGCCAGTCACCATGCGCCAGTCACCATGCGCCAGTCACCATGCGCCAGTCACCATGCGCCAGTCACCATGCGCCAGTCACCATGCGCCAGTCACCATGCGCCAGTCACCATGCGCCAGTCACCATGCGCCAGTCACCATGCGCCAGTGCACCATGCGCCAGTCACCATGCGCCAGTCACCATGCGCCAGTCACCATGCGCCAGTCACCATGCGCCAGTCACCATGCGCCAGTCACCATGCGCCAGTCACCATGCGCCAGTCA